GATTCATTTACAAACAAGGCACAAATCGACACAGGATTTTCAGAAAGATATTTCCAGATATATAAATACATCTAAATTTATTAATATTTATTATCAGTATGACAACAAAAAAAGGCAATTATTTATTTATACATGAATATTTTAGCCAACAAAAAGTTGACGAAATCCATAGACAACACAAACTGCTTGTGTGTTGGTCACTTTTAAGTCACTGGACAAAAGTGTCAAGTAAATGGTTATTTTACCTGTTTTGACTAAAACATAACATCACATAAACATCCTTCACTTATGCATAAGATACGCAATAATACTCATAAAAACCATTTATGCAAACGAACAGACTTCCAAATAAACAGCATCCCTAATTGTTTCTCATATCTTGCCCATCAGCTAATGGTTTTCCAGAGAGCCTCGGTCTTACTGTGCGAATTCATTAGAAGCACTGCTGCTGAAATGGCCTTTGAGTATTTATTCCATCTAAATGCATCAGGAGACTCTTTTGTTTGACATTTCTGTTGAAGATGCTTCTTGAAGATTATAATATCCTATTAGCATGCAAACTACTTTCTCCAAACAGCCTATGTGAAATGAACGGCAGCCACACAATACACAATACAATATGCACATGCATTAGCTAGAAGTAAATGACTTAGTATTTCTATCTACATTACTGGCATCCACAAAATGAACATGAACTAACATGATGGTTTCTTTCTGCTAAAGTTAATGCAGACATGGAGCGGAAAGAGCAGAAGGGAGGGCTCGTGTTTGAGCATTTCATGTGGCACAGCTGTGCTCCTCACCTACAGATGCCGGCGTACTGCAGTCATGGAAACACAGCCACGGTTTTATTATGATATTCAGAAAATACACATATTGGCCACATTAAATCAATGTAATCAGTCTCTATTTTTTCACTTGTCAAAACAGCCATAAGAGGCCTACTGGACAGACTAAACATGTTTGAAATAAGGTTATTGAGTGAACTGATGTACCCATGTACTCAGCTGAACACACTGAAACAACTTAAGTACTATAGAGGCTGCAGAATGCAATACAGCAATAAGGCAAAAAGCATAATTCAAAGCATGACGATCAACCACTGTAAGACACGGCCTGAAGTGATGTATTACCTTTATAAAACAGCACCAAAATAAAATTGATAAAAGGCATCAAAACACCATGTCCAATAAATTGTTATTATCATACAGTAATAACAACAACAACAACAAAAATAATTTTAATAATAATATTTAAAAAAAATAATAGCTAGGGTGTTGATAAACAGTATAATAATTATATAATAATAATAATAAATCATTGTTTTGTTGTTGTAATTAGAAGTATATAATAATACACAATTACTATTATTATTAATACTTATTTATCTTACAAATAGTTACATTGATTATTATTACTGTAATAACAACAACAATAATACTATTAATAATATTTAAAAACAATGATAATAGCTAATAGTTAATAGACAGTAGGACACCACATCCAATAAAAAGTTAGATTTATTATTATCAACAACAACAATAATAATAATAATAAAATCATAGTTTTTGTTATTATTATAATTATATAATAAACAATTACTATTATTATTAATACTAATAATTTATTTATTATTTAATAAATGTAACAAATATTTACATTTATATATTTATTATTATTATTATCATAATTACTACTACCACCATCAGCATTGTTATTAGTAATATTATTAATGATAATAATAAATGTACATTTATTGGACATGGTGTCTTACTGTTCTATTAACCATAGAAATACTGTAGAATCTTTTAAATATATATATATATTTTTTTGTTGTTGTTGTTGTTGTTGTTGTACTTCTTTTTTTAATGCTAAAACTTTTTCCAGGTTTAAATTAGATTTTGTGTTACAGATGTTCAGCGTGAAGAATCTAGTTCCTCTAACCGCTTCATTAATTCATTAGACTGTTTACAGCTGCCAAGCCATGCAGCAACTTGGCATATTAATATATAATTCAGCTGATGTGTGGTCACAGGTGTACGTTTACAATGGTTTTGAGCTGATCCAATCAGATTTAGAATTTACTATTATATTTAAAATAAGCTTATGCTTCAGTATGTTGTAAGGACCAGGGCTGCCTTTCCCAAAAACATCGTAAGCTTAAGTACATCGTAGACCCATTGAAACCAATGGAGCTATGATCAACTTAGGCTCAGGATGCTTTTGGGAAAAGCAGCCCAGAAATGTTAGAATCTTTCTTACATATTTACATACTTGTAAGAAAGTTTGGACAAACATATCAAATGGTGGTATACTCCACTAGACAAAAACGTAAAGTTATTCTGTTTTTTTCTGTTTTATCAGTTAGTACAGTAATGCAGTTTTGTGTTAGGGCAGAACTGAGCTGCGGACTCATTCATCTTTAATGGAATTCTAGCATATACAGCCCTTTCTTTTAATATCTCTCATGTTTTCCCACTGAACAGACATTTTCTGAACTGTTTGGGGATGGCGACTGAATCATTCATGAGAAAAGTGCACATGCAATGGCAGAAGGTGAAAACGTAATTAAATACTAGATGAGCTGCCCCGATGAACTTCACCTGAATGAAATAACACTTCTATACCTCGTTCCAAGGGCACAAAAACCATTGAAAAGAATGAATTCAATGTTGCTCCTAAATTCGCACTCTGATTTTCGGCCTTGAATACGGTTGCAAAGCCATAGAGTTTACATGACTCTACCTACATGAACGCTACAAGATCACATTTGATTTTCCTTCAGAGAGGAAACAGCACTTACAGCATAAATCAGACCTAATATCAGACAAACACAATCACGTTGCTGCACAACAAACACACTGGGAGGCCAATCAGTAACTGAGAGGCTAACTCCACTTCAGGTGTGGTTTACAGCAGTGTGTTTAATATTAGCAGCCTAAAGGAATCTTCTGGGTTCAACACAAGTTCAGTCCCTTGGATTACCAAAGGAAAAAAATGGACTTGTCCCACATTTGACAGTAATGCATTATGGATGATTCATTATGTATAAGGCATTCCAGAGGGTTAGACAACTGAAATGTGAAGCTTGTATTTATATCACAGCACTTATATTAAATCTTTTGTTCAAAAATATGTCATTGGAGCTGTTGAGAGTTGTCTACGTGATTCTTTTAATGCTGGGACTATTTCTGTAGGATGAACTTGCCCTGTTGACTTCCATTAATGCAGTACTGGAAACATGATTGTGCTTGTTTTTACAAACTGAGGGTCGAGCTAAAATGATTTTCTTTTTTTTTCTTTTTTTCAACAGATGCGGTCGATAGCACTTAAAATCAATTTAAATCCTTTAAATCAGTAGTTTTCAATCAGGGGCCTCAGCAAACTACCAGAGGGGCCCCAATAAATCTTAGAAATAGTTTAAAAATAAATTAGCATTAGAAAAGTAAAAATAATATAGATATTTTTGAGTCGATTTATTTTAATTTCAACAAAAGTACCAGAGGTACATATCAGCTCAGAGGCGGACTTACCCATTAGGCAAAGGTAGGCGACCGCCTTGGGCCCCCAAAAGCTAAGGGCCCCCTAAAATGCTTTTCATATATGAGATGCGCATTAAGCGCGGACACACGAACGGTTGCTATTTACAGTGTTTATTACCACGACAACCATCTGCGTGTCTGTGTTGAACATGCTTCTTGTGCATCCTGCTTGTAGCAAATGAAAATATCATGCATCTGAAGCTGTAATTAAGTATTGAGCAACAGTGCGTATTATATGTTTATTGTTTTAAATGCCGCTTACGCATTTATGAGAAGGACCCAGGTAGAGGATGTATACGCAGTTACTTTTTTGGTTCATATAATCCTTAGGTGTAAATGTATAATTTCCTTTTCATTATTTTTTCAGTTTCATTTAAATTTGTAGTTAAAAAAGTTTAGAATTAGACAGCCTTTGGAGAGTATATGAGACCAGGCACACAGGCTTACGCTGGTAACTCATCACTTTCCTTGTCAAAATAGGCTATATTTTTCACACTTTTCTCATTTTCACTATTTCAAGTTTTTATATGAATTAATCTCTGAAGGGAACTGACTGTCTTCAGAAAAATTTCGATGGCATTTTCATTCTATCTGACAAAGTAGCGTTTATGAGCAGAGCGCTGCTTTGTTTACAGCCCTTACCGGGGAAACCTCTATATTTCTGATGTCCCAAAAGCGCCTCCTGCTGGCAGAGAATGAATGTGCATTTTCAATAAACCAGTCTGTAGTTTTTGTTCAGATCAATGTGAAAATCCACCCACATAACCCTGTTTTAAATTAATATAATTTATACTTCTGACTCATCCCTTTTCTTAAAAAATATGGTGTAAAGGCTCAATTGTGAGGTTTATTATTTTATAATTTATTTAGTTTTTGTGAATAAACCAGTCTGTAGTTTTTGTTCAGATCAATGTGAAAATCCACCCACATAACCCTGTTTTAAATTAATATAATTTATACTTCTGACTCATCCCTTTTCTTAAAAAATATGGTGTAAAGGCTCAATTGTGAGGTTTATTATTTTATAATTTATTTAGTTTTTGTGAAAACCTGTATCTCAACTGTAAATCAATTGCTATTTCGTCGTCCCCAACATGAAAGAAAGCCATTATACACTGGACACAACTATGGGGCACCATTGTGCAGCAGCAAGCATCACAACAAAAAAGGAACCTCAAGGTTGATCTAGGAAAATGTGTGCAAATGTATAGGGCCCCATAAAAGGATCCTCAAGGTTGATCCAGGTAAATGTGTGTAAATGTATAGAGCCCCATTCCTATATTTTGCCTGGGGCCCTCAATTCACTAAATCCACCCCTGTATCAGCTTACACAGGAGGGCCTTCAAATATTGTCTCAGACAAAGGGAGATTGAAATCCAAACGGTTGAGGTTATTAAACCATCGCTTTAAATAGATAATTAAACATAAGCGATAATAGTTTTATGATATGTGACTTACTGCAGGTGGCATCAGCCTCATCCGATCCGTCCGGACACTCGGGTTCTCCGTCACACCGCCAGCGCCCAGGAACACACTGACCGTTCGCACACGCAAACTCTGAGGGAGCGCATGTGTTCTTCACTGCACACGGAGAAAGAAAGACAGAGTTAAATGTTTGCACACTCTCTAAGCAACAACCAAGTGTCCATATCGTGGGAAGAAGAAGTCTGAGACCACATTGAAATTATCTGGTATTGTATAATCACACTTAGCAATAAATGCACGAACTCAGGAAAGTACGGACTCGGGAGGTGAACTAATCAGTTCTATATTGTGTACACAGCATACGGGCCTGTCACCTGATGAAAGACCAAACAACTCAAGTCTCGCAAGGTGAACTAATCAATTATGTTCCTGTACCAGAATTTTGCACAGCCAAGTACTGGAAACAGAATTGATTAGTTCACCTCCAGAGTCATTTGATTCATGCGCTATCACATTAAAAAAAATGAATGAATAACTCTATGAAACAGCTCATTACTCTCGAGTCACAGAAAGGATTCGTTCAAAATGAATAAATCGTTCAGGATTGAAAAAAGAAACTAGAAATATTTATATTTAGTCTAAAATACAGAATTATATCAAACACATATGCTTGCACACTCTCCCTGACTACATGCATTTAAAAACTTTTACATACTGTAGGCTATTTTAATTACCTAATACATTTTATTTCTAATAATAATGAATAAACATGGAAGCTCAAATGTGTGACTTTCATAACCGACAAACTCAGGGCTATTAATATAAGAGCTAACAAAGAACTAAACAAAAAACAGGTGCAGGGAAATCCTATTTACTTCTGTATTGTAGTAACAGATACAAAACAAAAGAAAAACATAGGGTGGGGATTTATGCCATGCACACACTGCAGCTAAATTTGCGTTCAACAACCAAATTAACTCCTGAAATGTTCAGTAGTGACAACAGCATTTACAAAAATTCTACGCAGTGTGTACAGAACCGAACTGAACAACTAGTTGTTAATGATGTATTTAAATGTGGATCAGAGTTGTGTCTTTTCTGTATGTGTGGTGCAAGAAATTACAGCGAACAAGGTACGTTTTGACTCATTAGTGTTGCCAGATCTTGCTATAAAAAAACTGCAAATAAATACAAGCCGATAACAAAGTAAAATCCAAATGCGTTATCTTGAAAACACCAAAATATCGCGACCTGCCCCTTCCTACTTTATTAACTCCAAAAAACGGATCGCTTTTTGAGCCAAGACCAAACAACAAGCCCAAAGATGTTTAATAAGCATCGCTTATAATAAGTGGACAAGACAACCCTTTAACATCGCTCTGTGAATTAGTCTTCCAAACATAAACAAAACATGATGGCTCTGTCAACAGTGGTTTAGTTAAAATCCCTGAACATGACAAGTCTTTGGTCTCTGTAATATTACTTTTGGTAAAAATAGCTGAAACCAATCACGAAAAACGGCGTCAGTCAGCAATTTCATGAGTGACTTCTGTTCTGTAAACACAAAACTGTAATTTAGAGGATTCAATCCGGTATTTAAATGTGGTTGTCTCTCCTGAAAGTTGGCAGTGTGTACCAATGGTTATATCTATCGGTTGTTGATTGGATGGATGCAGATCTGTAAGAAAGAGTCAGGTTTAAGCAGACTAAATAATTAGAGAAGTGCAACCTACATAACTAAAGAGAAGACTGTAATTTCACTGGAAGATCAAGTTGTGACATTTTAGATAAAAATGTAAAAAATTAAACAAAAGCATGGATGAATTGTTGATAATAAGAATAATAACATGCATTAAGAAAGCAGTGTGAATTTTCATTCCATGCTGACTTTGCTTGTGTAAGACTACTGCATTCACTGATCTGAGCAGATGGAGCTGTAAGCAACAGAGCACGGACAACAGTCTGGAGCTGCAGATATTATATGCAGAGGCTCTGCTCTCCACCTGCCGAGTTCTCACAAACACTCGCAGACCTTCAGTGGGCGGCAATCACAACAGCCTAACACGACTCCACAAGACCTGTCGACAAACCTGAAGGATCCGCTGCGGCAATGCTGCATCATTTTCTTTCCCCACAGCTCTGTGAGGCTTCCTATTGTCCTTGGACTCTGGTAAAGGCAATGCGTGGTGTGGGCCAGTAACCAGCCAACAGGGACGCGTCTAATCAAACGGAATGCACCCGCAGCCCTCCCCGAATCCTCAAGCTGTGCATCTGACTCAACCGAGTACGTGTTTCTAACAGGAACATTACATCAGCAGCGCTCTCTTTCCCTTCACAACAGTAAACACGTGTTTATTGAGCAGATTGCTGACCAATCCTACCTTAGCAACTGCTGCCGCCTTTCACTCTTTTCTAATGCAAGTCTGTGTGTGTTTTGATAGTTTTTAAATGCAAAATTTTACACTGAATTTGTTTTATTTTAGTGTTTTAGCAACGCAACTGTATAATTTAATAATTTATTTAAAGAAAAACATTGGATAAAATGGCTCAAGTAAAAAATGATTTCCAATTAATTTTGACCAATTTTACTCAAAAATCACACTGTGCACAGAAAGACGAAGCTTAGCAAAAGGTCAATTAGGTCAGATGAGTGTGTTTGCCCCCCTTTTTCTATGACTACAGGCTCAGCTGTTAAATTTAGGAATATGTAAAATGACGTGATTAAAAAAAATACATTTCAGTTTTTATTAAGAAAATGTGAGTGGTCAAAAAACATCACCACACACCACACATACAATGCTGCTACTAAATTAAATCAATATTGAACTAAATTGAGCTAAATAACAACACTGTTGTCTTCTGTAAAGCTGCTTTTAGCTGAATTTAATTCATGTCACTGATGAACTTTGCAACATTGACATTGTTATCGAACTGAATTGAATCAAAATTGAACAAATTAGAGCTGAATAATGACACTATTGTTTTCAGCAGAGCTGCTTTATACACTGAAAAAGTGGCAACCAAAAATGGTGACATCTAAATTAAATGGTTTTATTAAAGTCTAAAATATTATTTAAAGGGGTGGTTCATTGCGATTTCACCTTTTTTAACGTTAGTTAGCGTGTAATGTTGCTGTTTGAGCATAAACAATATCTGCAAAGTTACGAAGCTGAAAGTTCAATGCAAACGGAGATATCGTCTTTTAAAATTCTGGCAGTTTAATGCTTACAAAGATGGCTGGTAGGGACTACAACGAGTTACTTCCCGGGTTCGCAGGTTCTGCACGATCCTCTTCAATAATCCTCTGCTTCTCAATCGGGCTCAAACTGATAAACCATATTAACGACTCCTATGTTTACAATACAACCGGAGCACATGCCGCTGAGGTGAGGGGCGGGATGTTAAGACGCGCACAAGAAGCGGTTTAGCCAATCACAGCACACTGGGCTAGCTAACCAATCAGAGTCTATCACCTATTTCTGAGGGAGGGGCTTCATAAAAGCAGGAAATTGATCAGCGCGTTTCTCAGAGAAGGGACAGAGCGGTGTGGAATAAAGGTAAATTATGTGAAAAATAATGCATTTTTTAAAAAGCGAAGCATTAACACATGTTAGACTACACCCCATAAACAAATCAAGCCTAGAAACAAACCACTGAACCACCCCTTTAACATCACTGAACCGACCTATACCAATAAAACAAATTTTTATGGGTTAAATCAGGAAGAAATAGTAAAAACCTCAGGTTACCACTTTTTATAGTATGTAGTTGAATTGAGTTTTTTCATAACTGATCAACTTTGCAACATTGACAGTGTTTTTGGACAAAGTTGAATCAATGTTGAACTAAACTGAGCTGAATAATGACACTATTGTCTTCTATAAAGCTGCTGTCTGCTGAAATTGAAGTCTTTCCATAGTTAATGAATATTACAATATTAACAGTCACTTTCTTTTTTACCGTGAAGCTGCTTTGAAAAAATTTATATTATAAGAAGAACTATAGAAATAAATGTGTTCTAAATGGTTTTTGCACATTGATATATGGCTGCCAGGAATACAAATTTATATTTTTGTTTCTCAACATGGCTTGGATGTCTCCATCAATAATTTTTGGGGGATTTTATTCTCTGTTTTATCATCCACTAAGTAAAAATCCAATCCAAAAGTCAAATAAAAAAATTAGGATGAAAAGGAAGCAAATATTTTTGTGATTAACCTTGTTATGTATATGTACAAAATTTTTCTGATGTTCCCCACAGATTTCATTGCATGAAAGGCAAAATATGAAAAATGCATAATCTGTTGGGACACAGGAATATTGGAATATTGTTGGGGCACTGTGAATATTGTACTGATGCCTGCACACATGCATATGATATTGTGATGCATTTCATTTCAATTGAATGAAACTGTAGTGCTTTGATGTTTGAAGGACAATGAGGACATCTGCACATTCACTAATTCACTAAAGTTGTTTACTAACTAATAACTGTTTTCACCAACTAGTGCCATCTGTTAGGGAGGCACTGCTATTTTAATTAAGAAGACAGAATGGTACTCAAAGAAGCAGAGAAAGAAACAGGGAAAGCGAGGGATGGAAAAAGTAAAGAATGTAAAATTGCACCTGATTGTAAAAATCTCAGTTTAAAATCTCACTCTGCATAACTGTATATAACACATCAAATCTACATTCACTGCTGCATATTTTTAATTAGCTTCAGGTTATAGGATGAACATGTGCTCCTAAAAAAAAAAAAAAAAAAAGATGATTTCAGCATCATAAGCAGGTTTCAGACCTGATGGTGTCCAATCTGACATTTACAAACAAACAAAGTTTCTAATCTCTCTGGCTGTAGCGTAAGAAGGGAAAGACGTATTCGTTCTGACAGCTACTTTCCATAAAGGCATTATCCTAAATCACCCAAGGCAGTGCAGAGCCAAATTTTGCCAAATGTTTAACAGAATATGTGCATGGAGGATCTCAAAAACGCTGTTATATCACATAAGCAGCATTGTAAGGCATTATAAGCTCACTACAGACACAGAGACTTATGCATCACATCCTATCCTTCACAGATAAGACAATCCCAGTGTGCACTGCGATGAGCTTGAGAGAACAGGATTTCATTCAGTACTTAAGTATTGATAACAATT